GTTTTTTTTTTTTTTTTTTTCCAGTGCTCGATGTCGTGGCGGATATTTATATTCCACAATGGTTGATGAATACCACTAATGATGGTAGAAAAATCATATCAATCGCAAAAAATACCTGAATTTAAAATTATGCTAGCAAAGGGTGTATGAACGAAGTAAATTCAGATAGGAAAAAAAGCTATGATTCTCCTTCAATTTCCCAAGAGACCACATACTTACTCCGGAGTTCGAATTGTTGCTCCCCTGAATTCTGCGCGTTTAAAAGTGAGAGATTTCGTGAATTTCATCTCAGTATCACGAGAAGCACGAGATATCTGTACCGGATTCGTAGAATTCTGGGATATTACGCGCTTTTCATCTCTCTGTATCGGGCAAAATGCGGTTTTTTCTAGCATTATAATAACAAAAATTAGAATTACGATATGATCACCGCAGTATCGCAGCAAATATTAGATTGTTCCAGCGGTTTTTTAAAATGGTTGAAAATTACGCGTTATTCACCTCGATATCGTGGCGGGGGTGCAAATTTTAAAACGGTTGATGGAGACCATTGATGATCACAACATATTCATCTCAATCGCTGAAAATACGAGAATTTCATAACAATGCGAGCATGATTTTTAAGAAAGCCGTAAAATCAGATAGGAGAAAAGCTATGATTCTCCTTCAATTTCTTGTGATACCACGTAGCTACTCCGGAGTTCGAATAGTTGCTTGCTGGAATTCCGCGTGTTAAAAAATGAGATATTGCGCGTGTTACGTCCCTGTATCGCGCGATATCCGCGACATTGTCGGCGGATTCTTTAAACCAAAAGAAATTACGCGCTCTAAATCATGGTATCGCGAGAATGGGACATTTTTCCGGCGACATTGTAGAAAAATGAGAAATAACGCATTATATTCAATGCAATATCGCGGTAAAAAACGCGATTTTCCCAACGATTTTGTAGAATCGTTAAGAGGTACTCGTTACTCACTTTTATTACGCGGCATTCAGGCGAGGCTTCCAGCGGTTGATTAAGATCACAAAACATCACAAGATCTTCGCGACAATATCGCGGATATTACGCGAATTATACATCGATGCGAGCAAAATATTCATAAACATCACTAACTTGAGTTATGCGAAAAGCTAGGATTTTCCTTGCAATTTCCTTTGATGCCACATACCTACGAAGGAGTCTAAATAGGCATGAGGGAATCACCACAACCGCATTAGCAACGGGAACAACTAGTCGGATTAAAATTCCCTAACTTTTTATCGAAATTCCCTGTCATTCCCTAATTTCTCCCCGTCTTTACGAATTTCCTGACAGTGCTTGGTTTCACAGATTTTCACATCCGCATTCTTTACAAAATCGCTGAAAAAATTGCTAGTTTCCGCGATACTGCACTGGAGAAAAAAAAAAAAAAAAAAAAAAAAAAAAAAAAAAAAAAAAAAAAAAAAAAAAAANCTAGAGTGCAGACTCTTGAAAACATTGAAAAGAAAAAATACTCTTGATTCAATCAGATTTTTGCTTAAATCAAAAGGAGATCCGCTCAAATTAAGAGGCTTGGTTCTTGATTTAAGCTTAAATCTGATTGAATCAAAGAGTATTTTTTCTTGTCGATGTTTTTAAGAGTCTGGACTCTAGATCCAATGTGGTTTTTTCCAGTGTGGGATGGACACCAAGTGTTTCCTTGTAATTATAAGAATCTGGTGAAAAAATCGTATACTACTCGCAATGTTGCGATGAAAATCGGGTGATCTCTCACTTTTTAGAAAACCGCTGCACAAATTTAATGATGAGTATCGGACGGTGTTATGCTCGCCTCGTTAAATGAGGAAATCAAGCGCACAACTTTTCAAACTCCGTAGTAGGTATGTGGTATCCCGCAAAATTGAAGGAAAACCTCAGTTTAATGCCTGTCTCAAATTACTGAAGTTTTCACATACTACAGTCCTGCTATCCAAACCGCGTATTTTCCGCAAGCCCGCCACATCTCATCTCGTGCCCTGGTACCAGCCTTTGAGTCTGGGCCCTATAACTGCTGACCCCCCCCTCCCCTTTACCGCAAGAAAAACCATTTGTAATATCATGAAAATTAACATTGTTAGAATAAAAATATAAAGTAAATAAATGCTCATTGCATTTCAGGATAGATTAAAAATATCATTCTATACTAAAAAATCTTAAAAAAATATATGAATCTTCTGAGAAGTAAAAAGAGTTCTACACTTCCAGCGTGTTTTTGAAAATGTATTCACTTTTTGCGAAATTTTCGGGGGGGAAATGTTCCCTTTTTCCTTACAAAACGAGAAAAGCACTGGAAAAAAATCACATTGGATCTAGATTCCAGACTCTTGAAAATATTGACAAGAAAATATACTCTTGATTCAATCGGATTTTTGCTTGAATCAAAACGAAATCCGCATTAAGAGGCTTGGTTCTTGATTTAAGCTAGATTCTGATTAAATCAAGAGTACTTTTTCCTGTCGATTTTTTTAAGAGTCTGGACTCTACATCCAATGTGTTTTTTTTCCAGTATAAGGGTTACATAAATGAATACCTATCAATTTAATTGGGTTCAGGGGGATATCTTTCATTAAAGAAAATATATCAAAAGTTACGTTTTTTGTAGAGATATCATTTAAAACATTACTAAATATTAGAGAGGAACATTATCCTGCTTATCAAAAGAAAGAAAAAAATTGTTGTATACGTACCAGCAGTAGGTTATCCAATTGCCCGACGCCAGGCTGAAAGCACTCACAACACTGTCACTGAAACTACACTAAAAAAATTGCCCATTATTTAAAAGATTAAAGTAGTACTAAAAAAATTGCCCATCATTTAAAAGATTAAAGTAGTACTAAAACAATTGCCCATCATTTAAAAGATTACAGTAGTACTAAAAAAAATTGCCCATTACTTGAAAGAATAAAGTATATGTAAGATGAGAACACAGGCTCACTGCAGAGTGAACAAATTATATAATAAACTATTCTGATTTCAATTCTGTCCATGTTAGGTTTTCCAAACGTATCGTGTCTTATAATCGTTAGATTTATCTCTATAATATAAATGTATGCGAGTAATGCGTACTTGACGCTAAACGCCTGAGGCGCAAAGCGCTTCGGGGGGTTGCACCGCGAAGCGATCCGGGTAACCTGGAATGGTTCAACGCAGCAATTTAAAAAAACAAATAAGTTTATACAAAATTTACCGAAGCATATTATACTCAACAGAAATTTTAGATTAAAATAAGAAGATTGAACATTTTACATACTAAAAACAACTTGTCTAGGAGGTAAATGGCGCTAAGTTCCACATCCGATGATGAACCTGAGTCGTTTAAATGCAGTTTTTTTTTATTGCTCTCATCGGAAAAGGGGGTTAAAGTTCTTCAACCCAACTCATAGCTATTGGACTTCGTTCCACTGTTCTGTAGTCTCTCTCATCACAAAATTCAAAGTAAAAGTTCTTGCAACTCAATCTCGTAAAAATAGCTTTCCGTTCCACACTTCTTTCATCTTAGTTCATTACTTTACATACTGATAACAACATGCTTGGATGGTGAATGGTGCACACTTCCATATGTGATAATGAATCTGAATCTTTGATATCAACTTTGGTCTCTAGTCTCTCTCATCGGAAAATGAAGTATAAGTTCCTCCCACTCAACTCATAAATATTGAACCTTGTTCCACTGTTCTCTAGTCTCTTTGATCACAAAATTTTACTCGTAAGTAAAAGTTCTGGCAACTCGATCTCATAAAAAATTGCTTTCCGCTCCACGCCACCTTCGTCTTAATTCATAACTTTGCATACTGATAAGAACATGCTTCTTGGATGGTGAATGGCGTACACTCCTCCATCGAGTAATAAATCTGAGTCTTTGAAATCAATTTTGCTCTCTTCTCTTTCATCGGAAAATGAAGTAGAAGTTCTTCCAACTCAAATCATAGGTATTGGACTTCGTTCCACTGTTCTCTAATCTCTAGTCTCTAATCTCTAGTATCTAGTCTCTCTCTCATAACAAAATTATAGGTAGAATTTCTTTCAACTCGATCTCATAAAAATAGCATTTCGTTTCACATTACCTTCGCCGTAGTTCATTACTTTACATACTGATTACAGTATGTTTAGAATATGATCGGCGCATGTCTTCACATCTGATGGTGAATTGGTGAATCCGAGTCTTTGAGATTCAGGTTTAATCTCTTATCTCTCTCATCGGAAAATGAAGTAAAAGTTATTTTCCCTCAACTTATGATCATAACTTTTCGTACTATAGTCATTTCGTCGTGATTTATTACTTAACATTTTAGAAACAGTATATGTAGATGGTTAATGGTGTACCATTCTACAACTAGATTAAAGTAGTTTCTACCTATATTGATGTATAAATTCTACCCTAAGAATGAGAGGTAAAAAATGAGAGGTGAAGGATGAGAGGTGAAGGATGAGAGGTAAAGGATGAGAGGTAAAAGATGAGAGGTAAAGGATGAGAGGTAAAGGTTGAGAGGTAAAGGATGAGAGGTAAAGGATGAGAGGTAAAGGATGAGAGGTAAAGGATGAGAGGTAAAGCATGAGAGGTAAAGCATGAGAGGTAAACGATGAGAGGTAAAGAATAGGAGGTAAAGAAGAAGGGTAAAGAAGAAGAAGTAAAGAGGAAGAGGTAAAGAGGAAGGGGTAAAGAGGAAGAGATAAAGAAGAGGTAAAGAAGAAGAGGTACAGAATAAGAAAGAAAGAATAGGAGGTAAAGAATAAGAGGTACGGAATAAAGAGGATGAGAAATTGATCATTATGAGATCTGTTCGGAAAGTATCCGACCGGGTTGATTACCTCGCCATGAACGCTTGATAAGNAGAGTAGGAGCGTCCTTGTCAAGATGATCCCAAGCCCCAAGCTCTCGTCAACCATTGATGGCGAAATAATCAACAAGGTCGGATACTTTCCGGACAGACCTGTTACACTTACGATTATATACAATTAGAAAATAAAACCACATGCATCATGCACCCGCCACCAAAGCACAGGCACCCGCCACCCACCCACATGCACCTGCCACCAAAGCGCATCCACCAGTCACCAAACCACATGCACCCACCACCAACCCACATGCACCCACCACCAACCCACATGCACCCACCACCAACCCACATGCACCCACCACCAACCCACATGCACCCACCACCAACCCAAGTCAGTCATAGTCAGTCGGCCACGGGCTGAAACGAGTTCGGGTCCCGACACAAGAATGGTAAGAGGAGTTACCGAGCCATTCCTCTGCCTCGTTACTGCCGGCTCAGGGCCGAAAACAGCCCTGAATGGCAGCTACAAGACACAGGAATGGTTCGGGAACGCCGTTCACCATCCCTCTTGCGTCGCGGACGCGAACTCGCTTTTTCCCGCAGCGGGTAACCATGCTCGGATAAAAATGGTGACACTGAGTGTGCCGAACGAACACACACACTCCGGTTGGCTGCATGCTCATGAAGCGTGAGCAAGCACCCACGCTTGATGACCACCCGACCATCCTGAATGCACGCAAATTCGGGACACTCTGAGACACCATTTTCACCCGAGGTAGCAGCAGTGGACCCAAAGGTGTTTCAACGGCCACCGTCGGCGGGTCAGGGCCGGCTGGTCTAGGCGGTCCGCAGACGGCCCCTACTCGTGCGACCCCGTGGTCTGCCAACGGTCGGGTTGAGACGACCTGCCGGAAGGTCCGTCGAGCATTCCGTGGGATGGCATTGCCACCGGCCTACCTTCACTTCCAGGCTGAGGTTGCTAGCCCCCGGAAGCGAAGTTCGGTCGGTGGAATGCCGTACCACGGAGTGCTCAAAGGACCGTCCGGCGGGTCGTCCCCCCGAACGTCGGATAGACCACGAGGGCGCACTTTTACCGGATCTGGCGGCGGCTGATCGTTGTTGTGCGCTACGGCCGTGAGAGCAAGTCGCTGCAGCAGTGGAACTATCAAGGGGCCCGCTTAAAGAGAACGCACCCCAAGGCCCGAGTCGCGTTCCCTTTGGAGCGCAGCACGTAGCCGCGCTCCGAAACGCGACTTCGCTTTTGGACTGCATTTTGCAATTTGGAACTATAAATGCTAGCCCAGTTTAAAAACAACGTATGTGCCATTCGTTTCCCTATGCACATACGTGTTTTTCCAGAAGAGCCAGAATTTATAGCTCCAGATTGCAAAATACAGTCCTTTTCATGCTCACCTCTTCAGGCGTGCTTGGTAGGTACCCACCGTTGAGAATCGACGGGAAAATGAGCTTGTGCAAAAGTTTTCCGGGATTTTTTTTTTGTTTTTTTTTTGGTATTTTGTTTTTTTGTTTTTTTTAACCTACTTTTTTAAATATATTTATTTATTTTTTTTAATAAATAAATATATATACTTTTTGTAACGACATTAACCCACGAACTTTCGGCAATAAAAAGTACTCAGCCCAAATCATGCACCTTTGAATTTATTTTTTTTTTTTTTTTTTTTTTTTTTTTTTTTTTTTTTTTTTTTTTTTTTTTTTTNTTTTTTTTTTTTTTTTTTTTTTTTTTTTAGGAGATAACATCGTCCTGAAAAATTTCAGTGAGCTGAACGCGCTCTCGAACGAGCGCTCACTGAACAAGCTCATGAAAAAAAACGAAAGATATTGCAAAAGAGAGGGGAGGAAAGAATGGTGAAAAAGATGTGGTTGTGACGAACAAAGTAGGCCCCCTTAATTTCGGTGCAGAGAAGTTTTCTCCCTTCGATTGTTTAGTTTGAATTCAGTCAGATTTAATTTTACTTAATTCGTTGCTTCGTTCTTCGATCGTTAATCATTCATGAGTACGGGATGGCAAAGCGTAAAGTTTTTCCCTTCGTTTATATAGTTTGAATTCAGTCAGATTTAATTGTACTAAATTATTTGTTTCGTTCTTCGATGGTTAATCATTCATGAGTACGGAATGGCAAAGCTAATGTTTTGAAGTTGAACCCTTGCAATGGAACTGATCCGCGAGGTCATTTGCGATCGTTGGACGAAGAGATAGAAGACAATAAAAAATTGAATAATATTCAATAATTATTCAGTAGGTCCGATGTCACAAAATTTTAGCACTCGCAGATGTTCGTTAGAATCAAAACTTCGCTGGAATCGCAGAATTGACTACTTTCTTATATCAAAGATACTTTTAAAAAAAAAACTTACATGAACAAGAAAAACGTATTCAGACTTTGTTTCGGTTAAAAGTACACCCAGACAGAACAGAACATGGAATACAATCCTAAGGGTAGGTACATAAACATAGGGAGTAATCTGAATATAAAAGATTTTCATTGTCTTAACATTTTTACAAGGTCATTTTCAGGCTCGCAAGCATGGTTGTTCACTGGTATGATAAGACTCCTGGATCTAGAGTCCATGGCTCTTAAAAAAATTTACAAGGAAAAATACTCTTGATTTAATCGGACTTTTGCTCGAATCAAAATAAAATCCGCTTAAATTAAGAGGCTTGGCTCTCGATTCAAGCTGAGATCCATCTGGATCGAGGTTTTTTTTTTTTTTTTTTTTTTTTTTTTTTTTTTTTTTTTTTTTTTTTTTTNTTTTTTTTTTTTTTTTTAAATCAAAATAAGAGGCCGGACTCTGGATCCGAGGGACTTTTTTTACAGTGTTGAAAAATCTATTGTGCAGTTGTACAGAAGAGAGAGGCAAAGTACACACAGGTCTAATTAGACGGCATTTTGCAATTTGGACCTATAAATTCCGGTTCGGTTTAAAAACAACGTATGTGCCATTAGTTTCCATACGCACATAAGTGTTTTTTCAGATGAGCCAGAATTTATAGGTCCAAATTGCACAATGCAGTCCAATCAGAACTTCAAGATTTCTCCTTTTATAAATCATAAAATTAATACGGGACCTTTGAAGAATTACGTACGTCGCTTCAGGAAGGGGAGGGGGAGCAGGGGTCTGTCCTTAGCTTGTAAGGTATTACGAGGAGGGGAGGTGGAGTAAAAAAAAAGTGGTCCAAATGCTTTATGCAACACTTAACCAACTCTTGAATGGATCATACGAAGTGAAGGGAATCGTAGTTCTTAAATTGCTAATTTCCACATTTAAGCCTATACTGAAATTCTGGTCGCAATTTCTATGAATTCTGCTATGTTATTAATTATTCCGGTCCTGGTAACAATATTGCATGGTTCCTGGGACGGAAATAATACTTAATACCAAAAAATATGTTCTACTGACATAGCAATGTAAGAGCTACGATTTCTTTTTCTCCGTTCATTACTTGGAAAAGATGGCATTTACAAAAGGCAGCGACACGCTCAGGGCTCACATCGAAAATGTTGATGGAAACATAATTCCCAATCGCTTAGAGCCAAAGGACTGTTACCAATATATTCGGGAGAAAATAAATGTATTAATGGCATGCTACATCAAACTTGCTCACTGGTAGAAAGTTTTACCAGTGCCACAAAATTGACAGTTAAAGCACGATAAAGGATTACTGATTTTCCACGAAGTCTTGAAACGGAAAAGATAGAGGCGCACGGTCCTTTGGCTCTGAGCTACAAACTTCCATTTACAAAATGAGAATGAATCAATAGCGATGTAGTTAAATATATCTTAATATGTCTTAATACCTTAAAATTATTAATTTTTCTTTCTTTCCTTTTCGTTTTTGTTTTCTTTTGTTTTTTTTTTTGTTTTTTTTGTTTGTTTTTTTTTGTTTACTTTGGTTTTTTATGTTTTTTTTGTTTACTTTGGTTTTTTATGTTTTTTTTGTTTACTCTGGTTTTTTATGTTTTTTTTGTTTTTTTGTTTTTTATTTTTTTTACGTTTTTTTTGTTTTCTTTGTTTTTTTGTTTTTTTTTTTTTTTTTTTTTTGTTTTTTGTTTTTAGTTTTTTGTTTTGTTTTTGTTTTTTTTTTTCGTTTTTTTCGTTTTTCATATCCCAATACAAACAGACAAATTAAAACTTGTGCATTGTAAGTTGACTCCAGAAGTCCTCCGAGTCGGCCAATGCGGCCCTAGTGGATGACTTCCGTGCAAATATACGATGCACAAGCTTTTTACACAATTTAATCAATATATTCTACCATCATTAATCTTGAAGAAAACATCCCTGGAGTTCTCGCCGCCGGGTCGCACCGTAGTCACCTTTCGTCCGGGAGTTGCATCAATTTTTCATATCCACGAACGTTTCACTGCATGCAATTTTTCATATCACTGTCCTTCAGATCCCCTCTTTATCTGGGGAAATTTTTCGAAAAGTCCAAAATAATCATGTCCAATAGTTGTCGTTTTTTCTGGTCTATGCAAAGTCACCGTCTCGGTACCATTTTTCTGGCCATAATTTTGTGCAATAGCTCCACAGCAATAATGAGTTTGTGGCGTTGCTAACACTGCTAACAGATTCAGCAGCGGTTGATGTAAAAGTTTCATTGGCAAAATAGTACAGAGCTGCAATCGCGGATCAACTGCTTCCATATTTGGCTTTGAAGGAAGATCAATCAGCAAAATAAGTTAGTCTGATGATTACAAGACCATCTGCGTTGACGAAAAAAATATATATTTTTTCTTTTTTTTAAAAAATTAAAAAGAAAAAAAAAAATTCGTCGTAAGGCCGTAATGAGTCATCCTCCCATTGGTGTCTCCTTTATTGGGACTATGGTATGTAGCAATCATTGTAAATTCGTATTACCAGTTGCAAAGCTGCGGTATGGCGGTATCATCAGCCTTCCTGAATTCAGACCAAAATCACCAGTGAGCGCTGAACAAGTTCCTTGCCGGTGAAGAGAAAAAAAAATTGTACAAAACTTGCAGCTATTTGGTGAAGGTACCAATTTTGATCGCAACTTGTACCTCGTCGGCATCAGTAGGATCTTCAAAAACAGATGACACATTCAATACTTGTTGTCCAATGCATAATCACTTCAATAAGAGTAACTGCTGACAAAGTTGTTTTCAGAATCCAGATTAGTCAAGACTCGAGAATAGTTTGTACTCAGCAATTTGATGGTAGGTGGAACATTTTCAAGATAAGGCCCCACGGTAGCTGAGCGGCAATAATCTCCAAACTGAAAAGTCGAGACGGGCTGGAAACGCTGATGTCGCAGATTTGACTCATTGCCCGAGGGACATGATACCGTGGGGCGCCTTCAACTATGGAGATATACTTCCAGAGTTACTTCTTCAGGTGTGCGCTCGGCATGCATAACTTGGGGCGCCTTCAACTATGGAGATATACTTCCAGAGTTACTTCTTCAGGTGTGCGCTCGGCATGCACAGCTTGGGGCGCCTTCAACTACGGAGATATACTTCCAGAGTTACTTCCTCAGGTGTGCACTCATACCTGTTGAGCGCTTGAAGCAGAGTGCACATTTTCAGACAGTAAGCTCACTTCATTAGGCAAAATACAGGTAGCTTCTTGAACTTTAATGCTGTAAATTTTGCGGCACTGAGGATGAATTCGTCGTAGACCTCATAAACAGTCGAAAGTTTGACTTCAACATTGAAACTCTATGGATTTCTAAATGCTGAGATGTTCGAAGCACTTCGTTCTGGAAATCTGCAGGTGCCAACTCTTGTGGTTTTGATACCTGAAATGATTTTTCTTCTTGCTGGAGTTACAATCCTGTCTGATGCGTTCGGCGATTACCGGGTTGATTCCCGGCATACCGGCTGTGAAACGCAGACGTTGGATCGTTTTTTAACTCTAGACTCTCCGTCGTACCATCAACTTGCGGTAGAGACGATCGTATGAATTGACGCTATTACTGAAGGTCATAAGAGGTCTGAAGTTCTGGGCGATATTTCGGAACTTGAGCCAAGCGAGGCTCAACTTTGAAGAATGTCGGCAATTCCATAAGATCGAAACTTGTTTTCATTGGTGCAGCAAACATTGGCAAATGTACCAGTAATGTGATTCACGAT